GGATCGGGCCGCCCTCCCGGCTTCGCCGTTAAGTTCAGCCCCCGGGAGCTGGAGTGGTGTAGAACTAGGCGATTTAGGTAAACTTCACTGCAGGTGCCAAACACTGCGTGGCTGCGAGTGAATGAGGTCGAAATGGCCGCTGTTCACTGACCAGGAGTCATGAGATGCTCTGTCTGTCCCCTGCTGTCCCTTTCCCGCCCCTCCCTTTTCTCTGTTTTGTCTTACTATTGAATGTGTTGTAATAAAACTTATTTGAGGTGCTTGTGTCTTCTTTCAGCCTGAACGTCAAGACCGTGTGATAAGGTGTTTGTCTTTTATGGCAAATTTCCCAGTCTGCAGGTCAGAGAGTTTGGTTTTTGTTCATCTGGCTGGTTTGTGGAGCACTCAAGTGTTTCATAAGTTGTTTCCTGTGAGAAATTTTTTCTTTCTCCTTCCCCTTGAGTGGGTCAAAACTTGCTTGAGCCTTTAATTTTGCCTGCCCCTGCTGTTTTACTTGGTAATTAAAAACAAGCAAACAAAAAAAACCCAACAAACCAAGATCAAAAGGAAGTGAAATATACCATCAAACAAGCTTTGTCATCATTTCACTTAACTGTAAATTAAAAAAAAGATGAGAAGACGAGTGAGCATAAAGGGCAAAACATTTGGGAGCAAAGTTTATTTAAAACAACTTTTGAGGATCTGTCTTACTGCAAAGTAAAGCAGTTTAATACTGCTTCCTCTGTAAAACTGGAAGAGTCATTCCAGGAACAGAAGTAGAAGCTCAGGGTTGTTTTTTAAAAATATGTTGTTGCTAACTTAATTACTTCAATATATCCTCCTGAAGTATCCTCAGGGGCTTTTCCTCCGTTTACTCTTTCCTTTAGATGCAAGAAGTTCACGTTTGTTCTCTGAGTCCACACTGTTGTGAAGTAAAGCACTGCTTTTTGTGAAGTAAAGCACGTTATTTACCCACAATGAATAGCCTGAACTGTAAGCTCTGTTGCAAGCTTTACAGGAATAAGTAGAAGAAAACCATCAAATCTCCACATAAAATAATCCCTTTCCATTTCCTCTAAGAGCGGCCAGACTCCAACCATAAAGTGCTGTGAAGCCAGAGAGCTCTGCTGTTGCCCCGGATGGTGAGGGGAAAAGAGAACAATTCCACCCTGCCTGCCAGCTGCAAGAGCTGCTCTGCTTGCAAAAGCAAATTCCTCCAGCAAGTGGGCTCCAGGCTTTTAAGTTATAGAAATCACCAACTTTGCTGTGCACTGTGGTTCAGATGCCTGCAGATTCAGGACAGAACTTTGAGCATGACTGTGCAGTGCCTGTTCCACATAGTCAGGGAAATCTCTCTCTGCTAGGAGATTCCTTCAGATGGGCTTTATGGGTGGCCATTACAGGAGCAGAGTTGAGGACAAGGAGGCAAATGCATTCTCATTATGATCAAACTCTTTCTTCTGCCTGGCACTGGGCCTGGAGTGCTTGGCTGACCCTGGCACATGGCATTAGAAAAAGAAATGCCTTAATTCTTTTGCCTCTTCACACACCCAAGCATAAAAGGATCTTCAGGGGATACAGCTGAAGGACCTCCGTCTCCACTGAACATTGGCAAAGTCTGATACTAATATTGATCCTGTCTTTGGAAAGCTTATCTTCCAAATTCTCTGCTGGCTGGTGTAGGAAGGCTGCTGTTCATGCACATAAATAATGAGTGTCACCATAGCAGCTGTGCTTTTCCTGTCATCAATCAGACTCTCATATGTAGTTTGAGGAACCAAAAATCATTGTAAAAACAAGAAAGTTCCCTTCTCTGCCCTATTTCCTCTGCTGCATTGAGCAATTGGGTCAGAAAAGGAACCTCAAGTGTCTCATGATTTGTACAAAAGTCAGCACCCCTGGAAAACCACTTTGCCCTGGGCCCCTACTGACTGCAACCAGCCCTGAGCGAGGAGTCCCAACTCTTATTTGAATGCGTGAATTACACATCTGCATCTTGTACTGTATCACTGTGGCAGCACTGATTTAGAAAGTGGCCAGGACTGGCCCACAAGCTAATACTTCATTTGTGGTAGGATATCAAGAACTAGTCAGCTTAATTTCTTCATAGCAGAAATAAAATGGCTGGGGGAAGGAGATTGTATAGATGCTTTTTATAACCTGAATTTAAATAAGTAAGAGGAAAGATACTGAAGCATTTTAAACTTATTTCTGCTTAATGCCCATGTGGACAACAGTCCCATTATGTGGAGACTGCAAAGTGAGATTGAATCTACATGGACACAGGCAGTCAGCCAAAATTTTCTGAATTTTCTGAGCTGAATTTCTGAGAGCAGGACGTCACTTGTCTGCCCTTTCTGCCATCATTCAGGAAGTCAGGGCAGACAATAGTCCCCTTCAGACATAATGCTTATTTGGAGATAGGGGCTGTGGCAGAACTTCTCCAGGCACTGCCAATTTCTCTTCTTTTTCTTGCCTCCTAATCCACTTACTTGGCTGATTCAAGAGCTGAGATCCAAGGCAAAATTTCATAATAGCTGTTTCCAGGTATCTGTCAAGTATGGAGCCCAGCAGGGCACACAAACAGATAAGGAGTCAGAGATGCCATCAGGATGGCACCATGAGGAACTCCTTGGACTAGGTACCTTCTAGCCATTCGAACAATTATTCAGCTCAGACTCTCCTCACAGAACCATACAAGCTGCTCAGAAAAGTAACTTGATGTTAGCAGGTTGGTCTGTTCTCCCAGATCTTTTAGCAGCTGGGTCTGTTTTCCCAGGTCTTTTAGGAGTCTCTTACAGCTCTGAGATTGGATTCCTCATGGGAGCTGGGCCGGCAAAGGACCAGAGACAGTCCTACCTAGGCTTACACAATGGATATTTTCAGTGCGTTCAGCTTCTAGCCATTCACTGGGAGAAGACAATGGCAGATTTCTTTCACAAAAGCAGATTGTCTGAGCTGTTCTCCGTGCTCATGAAACACCAGCCAAGAGAGAAGGTACTTTTGTGCCAGCCCATTACAGGTTCCAGGTCTGCCAATTGCATCTGATAGAAGCAATGAGTGTTCATTCGTCTGTCTAATGGAAAAAAGGAAACGTAAGATCTTGGTCCTCTGTTGCATTCCTCTCTGCATCCTCTTGAGAAAGACAGGTGACTGATTCATATATCTCAGTCTCTGCAATCAGAACAGGACTGCACTAGATCCTGATGGCATCCTCCTGGTGAATGGCGTCAATCATTGTGTCCGTGGTTTGCCTGGAGCACTTGCGACTACCTTTCATGCTTTTGAGGTTTTCTGAAAGGTGCTTCTGGAACTTTTTGGTGAGGAAGCAGTAGATGACTGGGTCCAATACACAGTTCATGCTCAACAGGCACAAAGTCACCTGGTGAGCATCGTTGAGCTGTTGGCGCAACAGACAATTGTCCTTCTGCCACTGTTCCAGAACAGTGAGGGTCCAGGGCAGGTCCACAATGTGATGAGGTACAAAGCTTATGATGAACACAGCCAGCACCGTGCAAACCATCCAGAGCGCCCTTTGCTTGACATGAGCACTCTTCCGCTCCTGCATTGACTTAGAGAAGAGGGTCCTGATAATGACAATGTTCCATCCTAAGATAAATAGGAAAATGATATAGAAAAGGATGCAGATGATCACATGAATAGCGAGAACAGCTGGAACACTGCTATTGGAGTTACCATAGCGCTCAAAGCACCGGGTGAAATTCATTGAGCCAATTTCCTCCTTATTAGTATTATCATCAAAAAGATAATACAAAGAGCTGCCCACTGTTATGATCCAGATAGCTGCTGACAAGTAGATACCCCTTCTCTGGGTGGTGAACTGAGCAGCCTTAATGGGGTTAGTCACAGCTTGGTAACGGTTATATGTAATGACCATCAAGAAGGCAACAGAAGAGTAGGTATTAACGAAGAACAAGCAGCCAGCCACGCTACAGAGGAACCCAGGCATGATCCAGTCTCCATGGTGGTGATAGTAAACAATCCACAGGGGCATTGTAATCAAGAAGAGCAGGTCAGCTACTGTTAAGTTCACCATGAATATCTTGATTTCATTGAGTTTCTTGGTGGGGTAAATACGGCTGAAAATCCAGAGCACATAGCAGTTGGCGACAAAGCCTAGAATGAAAATGATGCTATAGAAAACAGTGAAGAGGGTGTAGCGAAACTCAGAGTCTATGCGGCATGAGGTGCCTTCAGGGCCACCTTTGCCCTCTCCTGACATTGCGCTGCTGAGCTGGTGCTTCTGATGCAGAATTTCCTACTGTAGCTTTTCTTCTTACCTAAAAATGTAAAGGATAAAACCAGATAACAGTTAAGGTGCCACAGCTAAGTCAAAAGCCACCTTTCATTTTCAGCTGTCTGTGACCACAGGAGTTCTCCCCCTTGCCCTGGCTCCAGCCTCAGGCACATGCTCTGTCCCCTTGGTCCTCTCTTCAATCCCATTGCCATGTCATACTAGCCTTTGCATCTTAATCCAGTACTGTTTGCTGCATTGCAAATCTCAGATCTCTAATCTCAAATTACTTTTCTGCATGAAAGTTCTTATAACAGATAAAATCAACTCTCATTCTGCTCCCTCTCAAGCTATATAGACTGAGCTTCTTATTCTTTGGCTATAAGCAAAATAGGTTTTCTGTATCTCTTTTTTTTTCTGTGGTTCTTTCTTAATACTTTCTGATTTGCCTACATTATTTTAAAAACTAGAAATTCCAAGACTGGAACAATATCTGGTACAAATGTCACACTAGGGCCATTTCCAGAATCGCCCTATACTTATCCCTTCCTGACATTTTGCTGCTTATAGTTGTAAAGATGACATTTGGTTTCTCAGTTGTAGGCACCACAGGATCTCACATTCACTTCATAGGCTACCAGAGCTCTCAGTTTTTTTACTGAACGAATGATGTAAAATATAAGTTATTGATCCTATTTTTTTTTAACCATTTCTGCATTGACTCCAAGTGTTAGCAGCAGCAGTTCTGTACTTCCCTCTGTCCCCAGTGAGGCTATTGACAAACACTGACCCTAAAGAGATACCTTCAGGATTGTAATATGACCTGTCCCCACCTCAATTAGTATTTCTTCAGATCTAGCTGACAGTTTCAACACATAAAATTCCTGTATCATCAATGTTGTATAGTATTTTTTCTCATATTCATGTGGTGTTTGGTCTAATCCCTTGTAGACTGTAATCTGATGCTTTTACTATCCAGAGATGTATACACCAGTTCTTGGCTCTAGCACTAACTCCCTGTGCAATGCCTGACAGGACCTCACCTCTCTGTGACACAGTACTGCAGATCTCTTAGTATTTCTCTCCCTCTAAAAGTGATGGGAAGATAACTTGACTAATACAGATAAATGAGTTTGAGAGCAACAGGCAAGAATATTGGGTTACTTGTTCTTGGCAAACTCACTGGTCTTGTAAAATAATCTGAGCCAATAGAGTCTAGTCTTGCTGGTCCCAGGGTCTGTAAACTGCTTTGAAAATGCAGAAAATGGTGGTTTACCTTGGGAGTAAAGTGTACCATTAGTCATGATTGTCCTTGTGGCCAAGAAGGCCAAGGGTATCCTGGGGCGTGTTAGGCAGAGTGTTGCCAGCAGGTCGAGGGAGGTGATCCTGCCCCTCTCCTCAGCCCTGGGGAGGCCCCACCTGGAGTACGGTGTCCAACTCTGGGCTCCCCAGTACAGGAGTAACTTGGCACTCCTGAAGAGAGTCCAGCGGAGGGCTACAAAGAGGACGAGGGGACTGGAGCATCTCTCCTGTAAGGAAAGGCTGCGAGAGCTGGGCCTGTTCAGCCTGGAGAAGACAAGACTGAGAGGGGATCTCATCAGTGTGTACAAGTATCTGAAGGGAGGGTGTCGAGAGGATGGGGCCAGTCTCTTCTCCGTGGTGCCCAGCGACAGGACAAGAGGCAACGGGCACAAACTGAACCACAGCAAGTTCCATCTGAACCCGAGGAAAAGCTTCTTGGCTGTGAGGGTGACAGAGCACTGGGACAGGTTGCTCAGAGAGGCAGTGGAGTCTCCTTCGCTGGAGCTATTCAAAACCCATCTGGACGCGATCCTGGGCAATGTGCTCTAGAGGACCCTGCTTGAGCAGGGGGGTTGGACTAGCTGATCTCCACAAGTCCCTTCCAACCTTGGCCATTCTGTCATTCTGTGATTCTGTAAACATCTCATGCAAGTTAGGATGGGAATGCTAGGTGCTGCACATTGCAAAGTTGCTTGCCTTAGCTCTATCAGCCCCTAGACAACATGCTTTTCCCCTCAAATACTCCTGAAAAGTCACACTCCTGCCTCAGAACTTTCTGGATCTTCCTCAGCAGCAGATGCATGAACACTCGTCTCACTCTCCCAGAGCTGGGTCACTCTTTGTGCCCATGTGCTCTTGGTTCCTCATCGCCCACTTGCAATTTTCCTGTGTAAATGGGGAAGTCAGCTCTAGCTCAGGAAAGCTCTCCCTCTCCTCAGAAGACTTTGCAAACCCCTTGGAACTTCCTCCCAGCTGGTAGCAGAGGAAGGCAGCAGTCACCTTCCTGAGCCTCTGCCTCCTCGCCCCTAACAGTTGCCCTAACAACATCACAACTACAGAAGTCTACAACTTGGCCTTGGTCCTCCACCTGGCTACTGGGTGCCAGACAGCACTGGGGTTTAAAAGTCTATAGACTCAATTCTTCTGGCAAGGTCCATGTAGTATGGAGAGGCCCTGAAGCCCAGGAATTAACAGGTACTGTGGCAAAACTAAGAGCAGTTGACCAGGTGACACATGCATCTCTTTTCTTTCACCTTGACCTCTGCCAAACTTCTGTGGAATCATCAGTCTCTAAAAGGTAGCAGCTGATTCAGGCAGTGATATCTAAGAGGTGAGCATGCCCTAGGCTATGGCACCTGGGGTCTAGCTGCCGAGGTCTGGCATGTCTCTGAGGAAGAATGTCTCCACTCCCTGCTGCCCAGTGGAGAGGCTCCAGAGCAGGTGGCGGCCGGGGCTCTGTTCCCTCCATGTCAACACCCTTATCTATGTATTAAAAGTGGTAATTGTCACAATATGGCCTTAAATAAATGTCTGTGTCCAAGCCTAACTCTACCACTCACTGAGAAACATCTCTGGTAGAGACACATGCCAATTGTAAGGGTTCGCATCCCTCAGCTCAGCAGAGCACTGTAGCAAATACAGATATGTCAGGCAAGGGGTGAAGCCATGCAGGGGCAAGAGAGTCTAGTGAAGAGGCGGGTGTTGGCACACTAGTCAAATGTTAGAATAAGAAGGAAAATGAAGTCCTAATTACCTAAGATCATTAGAGACCTTATAGTTCTTTTAAATCTGCATCCTAAACCCAGTGTTCTGACTAATTGCCAACTTCAGTATTCTGGTGCCTGGGGCTGGAATCTTTGAAATTAAAGATGCTCTATCACTATAGCACCTGATCTGAAGGTACCCAAGGTGGGGAAAACAAGAAGGCAATGCATCTCCCTAGCAGAATTCATGAGGAGAGAAGGAGAGAAATGCCCACATCCAATACATATGCACAGCTGTTATTCACAAAGTCTGTCATGACTGTGCTGCTGCTAAGTCCCTTTAACCCTCCATTTCTGAGGCGGCATGTGGGTACAGCTGCCTCCAAACTTTACCCAGGAGCTCTGGTAAACTTTACTGATAGGCTCTCCAGGCCTGCCAGATTTAGCAGATAGGGCAGGAGGGAAAGTGAACCTGCATGTCCTGCTCCACTGCAAAGCTCTGCACCTGAGGAGGATAGGCTTGAGCTAAGCTAAAGGGCTGGGCTCTGACAAGGAGAGATGGATGCAAGGACATGCTTTACGCTATTAAGTCTGGTATGGAGCAGAAACCTCCAGCAGAGGTACAGAATGTGCAGTGGGAGATGGCAATGCCTTGTACAGCCCCAGCAGGATTTGGCAGAGCTCATGTGTCATGACAGTGTTAGGCTGTGCGGTGCCAATGATAAGGTCCTTCAGGAAACCTTGAGAGAGTTGTTTTTCCCTTCTCACTTGTCAAGCTACAAAATATGGCTAGAAGAGAACATGGCACCATTCCCCTCTAAATTTACTTAATACCCCACTTCCCTCTTCAGCCTGAGGAACTCGAACTCACATCTCCTGTGTACTCATAAGATGTCCTAAGCTCTAGGCTCTGAGGGATGGTATGGGGGATCTCACTCATCTCCTCCATGCCAGCAGAAGGGAGAACAACATGCAGTGGTCAGAGTGCAAGCTAACAGATACGGGTGCCATTTTCTGCTGCAACAGGTTGCACAGCATTACCAAAACTCCTGGCAGCTCTAGCCCAAGCTACTACCTGCTGCCCCAACCAATAATCCCAAGTGGCTTATGTCGTTAACTTTACTGGACACAGAAATGGAGAGGGAAGTAAACGGCTGTGCAGCAGAGCATGGCTGGGGCAATTGCAGACTCTGCTCCCACTTCAGCACTTTGTCCCATGGGCCATGCTCTCTTAGTAAGGACTTACTGGCTCACATCTGCAAGCTGCAAAGATCACACTAACACAAGCTATATCATGAGCAAAAGCATCTTCCAAGAGTAACAGTACCAATAAATTCTATTTTGTGCTTACCACAGTCGAATGGATTCAGGGTAATATGTCCATTTTCAGCTTTAGTAGAGCAGTGATGGATGTCTTACTGAGGGTCCTTGGTCCTCTTCCAGATGTTATTTTTTCTGATCTGGGGCCAAAAGTTCTCCACACAGACGGTTTTCAAGAGCAGAACACCAGAATGGGAGCAACGACACCGTAACTGCAGTGTCACTAAAGAAGAGGAAATGTGTGACATCAGCTCAAAGGAAATGAGAAATAAAATAAGCTGTAGAGGAAAGGCAAGTAACCACAGCAAAGATCTGGAAAGTCCTTAAAGCTGTTTCCTCAAAGTATCTCCACTTGTAATGATCCTGAAAGAGAGAGAAGTTGGAGTTCTTCTCTAAAGATCGAATAGGAATCCACTCCCTGTCCCTACTTAGATCAGGGATTAAGCATTTGAACATCCTTCTTATGAACAGCTGTATGGCAGAAACTGGGAGAGTGATGATTTAATAACTCCAAGAAAAGGAAGCACCAGAAAACTCGTAAATCCCATGGACAAATTCATTCCCTAGCATGGTCTCCTTTGCACTTGTGTTAGGGCTAAACGGAGCTGGGCATATAGCCATGCCAAGTCTCCTTTTATCTCAGGGATCTTCAGCAGACACAGAGACAATGGGCATCCCTGACTCCTTGGGAGGACACGTAACCTCCTCATCAGCTGGGGGAAATGGGGCACCAGCAGAGGAGTAAGGTGCAGAGAGGCAACACTATTCTGCTGAGACACTGACTTCTGGCCTGCTGGGCCTCAGGCAATCCCAGACTCTGGGATGAGGCTGTGTGTGGCTATATGGCACTGTTGAGGCCCCAAGAAGGTGGGCTGTACAGCATCAAGGCACCCAGCGCAGCACCAGAAACCACCCTCTGTCCCCAGACAAGGGCAAGCAAAGGCCTGGTGCTGATCTGAGCTTCATTGCCTGGGCCAGCTCTTGGGATCCCTCCTTCCCTCCATCTCCAGAGGGTGCATACAGTCTCTCTCAGAGCCATTACAGGGATGAGCACCCAGCACGTGCCTCCAGCCTGGGGCGAGGAGAGGCAGGCTGTGCATGGGGGTGCATGGCAGCCATCAGGAGCCCCAGCCAGGCATTCAGCTCACTGCTGTGCAAACCACAATGTCCTGCTGCCCCAGACCTTGCTCAAGTGAGGCACTGAAACATCCAGAGATGCATGGAGACAGCACAGGCTCCATGAGGACAAGAGCGGGAGCCCAGGCTGGAGTCTCTCCCCCTCACATGCTTAGTTCCAGATGGGCTAGAGAGCACCTGTCATGGGCTGATCCACCTTAGTGGCCCCTGTCTGAAATCCCAAACCCTCAGAAATAGCATTCAGGCCAGCAGCTCCCTGATCCACTTCCCTCGTCCCTGCACAGATGACTTCCGGCTGTGAGACTGGGTGCACAGTGCACTTGGAGCATGTAAGAAATCACTCCTGTCCCACGTGGCAGCAGCAGAGGGTGTTGGAGGGACAGAGGAGCCAACTGAGCAAAACCGGATCCAGACACTGACAGAATGTTTGAGCCTTGCAGCAATGACTCTGCACAGACCTGGGAGATCCTGCCTTGCCTGAGCAGGGGTGGGCTACACCCAAGGAGTTGGCTGTACAGAGCAGGCAGATGTGCTACCCTCTCTGGTCCTGGGGTCCAGGGAAGAGCCGGGCTCCCTCTGCACTGGGCCCCATCAGGGTGACCCGAAGGGTGAGATCGGGATCCTGCAGTGACATTACCGATCTGTGCTGGGATGGAGGCTCCAGCAGCCTCCTCTCCTCTGCTGCCCACCTGCCTCCTTCCTTCTCCCTTCCTTACAAGCAGCTGGAGGGATGCACAGGGGAACCTGCTCCTTTGCGAACCTGTCAGAGCTTTCCTAATACTCTAGCCCATGAGACTGATTCTGGGAGCTGAAATTAAACACAAAATAAAAGCACACCAATCAGACTGACTGGCAGCCACTCCACGGCTTTGGAAGGCGAAGCCAGTGAGGATGTCTTGTCAGTGGGGGAGGGGAGGTTAGCAAAGGCTATAGCAACTGCAGAACAAAGTGTGCTGTCCTGCTGCTGCCAAGCTGTTACGGGAAAATGAAGCCCAGGAGGTTTTGGACTGGGGAGGGGTTGCCATCAGAAATCTGCATCCTTCCTCTGCTCAGCCCTGCGTAGGCTCTGACACTGACTCTGGGCACGTTCTCGTCACTGAATTCAGGGTCTGAAGAAGCTCTTTTTTAAAACTCAGAGAACCGAAATATAGTAAAATACCAAATTCACTTTTATGAAAGACACCAGGAGATCTGCAGGGTGGAAGCTCTAATGGTGATATGAAACTCTGCTTTCTGATTTAAACGCTCCCACTGGAGGCAGGAGACCTCTAACTGCCCAGAGCTTGGATCTGACAGAATCAGTGCTGGCGAGTGCCTCCTCATCTCTCTCTAGATTTGCTTCTCTTTCAGCTGTGCCTCAAATGCTCAGATTTGGCCTCAAAATTCACAGAAATGCCCGAAACAACCACTTGGTCATGCAGATTGGCCTTTTGCTTGCCTTGCACTGCTCCAGCTCTTAGCTATTTGGGGAGTTCCCATTTTCAGCTATTGCATTTAAAGCAAGAAAAGTAGACGCAGGCCTAGAATCAGAGCTGCTGGTACTCTTGCTATATAGGAACATGAAGAACAGCTCCCTTCCTCCCTCCTGGATTACTGTGTGCCTGTTTATGCATTGAGAGGGCTCATCAGCCTCCCCCCCCCTTCACCCATACAGCACCCAGATCCAGCACTCCCAAATGCTGCACCCTTTCCAGCTGCTGCTCGGGGATACAGCTCCCCTGCTTCACTGGGACCACAGCACTGCCTCTTTCTGCGTGCACAACTTTGCATTCAGCATTAAAATGAGTTTTGTTTGCAGTGGCCCAGCTTATTGAGTGGCCTGGGCAGTTTTTGACTGTTATTTACCACTTTCAGTCCTGGGGATGCACATAAAGCCTGGCTGCAGTGACTGCTGGCAAGAAAACACTGAATGCCATGCAAGCCTAACTAAAAAAAAAAAAAAATCTTGAATATGCAGTTACCTTTATCAACCAAACTTGCAATACAATCAAAATATAAAATTAAACTTCTTTTACTATAACTGCTTCCCATATGATCCTGTTAAGTAACATTAATGGTATTTTTGGTCTTTATATCTGGAGCACTAGATCCTGACTAATCTTTGGGGATAATTTGGGGCTAACCAGACGGTAGTCCCTGGGTCATTCCCCACAGCTCTGGCACAGTATCAGGACTTCTCTTTCACACCAAGCTGCCTTGCTCCTGCTTTCAGGGTATGAATAGCATCAGTGCATCATCACCAAGCTCATTTTGTGTGCCTCTAGTATGGCTCCTTGGGCTCATCTCCTTCTGAGACAGAGCCTGTTAGCAGAATACCTGCTGTTGATAATCACATATTAGTTTTGCAAATTTCAGAAACACTTTTAGGTTAGAAAGTATTATCAGCAAATATCCAGCAATCTCTTTCCAAAAGCAAAACCACATTTTATTAGTGGAGGAAAGCTCTCTGTGGAATGCAATCACATAGAGGAGCAGCATTCTAGCAGAGAAACTCTGCGTGCACTCTGCCTCCCTGTTCAATGAAAAGAGCAGTAACACAAACCACATGAAATACCAACACAGGAACTCTGAAAGCACCAAATGCTGCCAGCAGGATCAGAGCCACATGGTGCAACCTACTGGGCAAGTGAACAGGGGAGTGTGATCCCTGCTGGTCCCTGTCACCAATGCTTATTCTCTAGAGTCAGAATGGGTCTAGACTTTGAAAGTACATGATGTTCCTTTGGAAGCAGAGCAGCTGATAAGCCAATGTTAAGCATTGTTGTCTGTGAATTTCCACTACTCATCTCACTCCCTCTGCACAATTTCCTTTTGCCCATTGCATGAAAGAAATACTAAATCAACTCTGTAGGTTCCCCCCGTGAGCGTTTCAGAGGCTGGCACAATGGATCTCCACCTTATTACCAAGTCTGCAGGAATGTGTCCAGGGAGCTGGCATTGCTCAGCGGGGAGATATGTCTACTCAAGCTGCTAAGAATCTATTTTGGGGCAGCGAGCAGTGACATTTCCTGGTAGCCATTGGCAGCTGCAGGAAGGCAGGGCACAGCTTTTGCCACTTACTACGGTCATTGCTGGGATCACTCCGTGTTGCAGGAGATCTTGCTGTTGGGATCCAGGTTTACATATCAGCAGTGAATGAAACAGGGAGCAGGACAGACTCCAGCTGGTTTTGGCACACGAAGTCTGAGATCATACGAATGAAAAGGGAGCTAGGATCTGCTCCTAGGGACTGTGAGTGGCAGTGGCTGTGCGCTGGGCGCCTGTGGGTGCCCCTCTTTGAGGCCTGATTCAGTCATTCCTCTCCAAATGATCAGGCTCTTGTGCTTACCAGCAGTGTCCTGAGGCCAAACACCTCCTGTGGCAATCTCCCCTCCCATCTTCCTTAAAATCAAGGTTATGCTTAAGGGCCCCTTTGAGCAGGAAATCTCCATGTACCAAAGCCTTGAATGCCTGGGGCTCTTCAGCACAACTGCTAGAGCAAGAGCAGTTTAAGCTCAATTTACCGTCCATGGGCCAGGCAGGACCTTGCTTGGGTCCTAACTTTTTTGCAGGGGATTGTCTTAAAATACAGCCCTCAGAAATAGCACACCTAACAGAGCTGCCCAATGCTGGCCTCCCTGTGCCTGCTACTGCCCTGGACCAAAGCAGATTATCTCCGACCAAAGGCTATTTGCAGCATGCCCTGTGCAGAGCCTGCTGTACCCACTGCTGCCCCAGCCTGTAGGGACAAAGGACTGGAAGAGGGCAGCAAAGATGTACCAAACACCTGTGGGACTTAGGGACCTGGGCGAGGCCTCCAAGTGTCACCTCCTCTTCCTTGCTGGCGAAGCTCAGTGGAAAGGCTCCTCACATGGCTCTGCAGCGCCCAAGCAGAGCCAGGGCTGGGGCCATTCCCGAAGCCTGGGGTGGGAAGGCACCTAAACAACAGGCAGCCCCATTCCCTCCACTGCATTCCTGTTCCCATTGCCCCACAGGCAATATCGGTGCTAGCCTGACTTATGCCCTCAAAACACGGGGAAAACCCTGCTTGCTGGGCTGGCTCTTAGCAGGTGGGAGAGTCAATTGGAAGGAGAGAGTGATGGACGGGTGGATGACCCCTCCACTCTCCCTGCTGTTTGCTGGAGAGATTATGGCTGCAGTGATGCTCACCTAGGCATCACTGGGATGGCTCCAAGTGGGAGCAGAGAAACCATGGGAGTACATTTCTGAAGTAATGACCCTGTCACCCATTTCCAAGAAACTTTGCTCATCAGGGCTGTGACTTCCAGGGCTGGAGCTATGTGTATCAGAGGGGAAAAGGCAGAGCAGCAGATGTGGCTTCCCAGACAGCTCAAATAGGGAGAACACAGGTGGCTCCGAAACCCCTGGAGCTATGTGAAATGCCACAGCTCAGAGGTAGGATATGCACAAGCAGTGTGGGTCCCAAAATGCTAAGATGCAGAAGAAGCCTGCAGGGCTCAGGGAGGAGGTAAACGCTGTGAGAGCAGACAGAAGGGAAAGGATCCTCTTACCTCAGGGCCATGGAGCATCTGGCACAGCAGAGCCCAGCCCACTGGGTCCCTCCAAGAAGCCAAGCCACCGGCACTGCTAAGCCCACAGCACACTTGCGTCTAGGAGGAGGATCTGCCGGGAGAAGTGAGAGGAAAGGGGTGGATGGGGAAGGAGAGCGCTACATTCTCAGGGGAATGAGTCACTTCCCTCTTGGCAGTTGTGACACTCATTAGACATGCCCAGGCCGAGCCCTGGAGATTCTGGGACTCAACACTGGTTCTCATAGCCCTCCTGCCTTCCTTGAACAGGCAGGCAACGAGGAAACTGCTGAGAAGGCGCTGTGCTAGTCAAGGGCTCGTCACACTCTGCAATCATTCATTACCTAGCAGGCTTGAGACAGAGTATCCCTGCCCTGCAAGAGCTCTGAGCCAGAGATGCTCCCTGGCCCAGGGCAGGGTTGGGCATGGCAGGGGGAACCATGGCCTCCGGTGAGCCTGTCCTTTGGGCTTCACGTTTCCTTCCAGAGAGTGGGACTGGGAGCCAACACGGGAGCAGGCATTTGTTCAAACGCCCCATAGGAGCTGCAGACTTGCTGCCGCAAGGCTGTACACCAGAGTGCATTGGTGTGCGAGTCCCAGTATGTGGGAACATTGGCCAGAAACATATTCTAGGTTGTGGCAGCTAGCTTCCTTGTCCTATCTGTGATGTACGATGCTATGCTGACTTCATGTTCTTAACTAAGTTAACTTAACGTTCACCCAGTTCTTTGTGATGATTGTGTTGCACCAGCCTGGGATGAAAGAGTCGACAGGACATGTAAGGGACCTATTTGCTATTGGGCTTGCTGCCATACTCCCAAAGCACGCAGTTCTGGCATCGCCCTGCTTAGGTTTCACGTGGGATTTCCCCAGATGGCGCTGGCACCAATGAAATCACAGGCTTAATATCTGTTGGTGAGTTACTCATGTTGTAACAACAGATCACAGATGTTTCTGTTTGTTCTGCTTTTATTCATTGTGGATTATTTAACAAGAAGATGTTGTTTTTTCTTCACTGCTAAGAGCTGACATGGGGTCTGCTGGAAGGAGGCAGAAGGTTTTTGAGAGCAAACAGAGCCCTGAAGGGCCAGATAATCACAACTGGTCGATGCACAAACGCATGTTGAAAGTACATTGGAGCAGGCACACAATCCGTGCAGCTATGTGAAGGAACCAGCTGTTTGCCTGTCCTGTAGTTTTACCCCCCTTCCCCCCCACTCCCTGAAGAAGCCTAACAGACACCCAACTGTAGTGGAGGTATTTACAGGAACTCTTTCTACATTTCCAAACTGAACAGGAAAGCTAGCCTACATCCATTCACAAAGCTGCACCAGTTTAACTGCAGGCCTTTTCTGATAAAGATCAACAGTGCGCTCTCATTGCGAATAAAGCAAACTAGGCTACATTATGAGCAACATGACCAACAGATCGGGGACAGTTAGTATCCTCTCTGCTTGGCACTGTTGATGCTGTACCTGAAGCAGAGTGTCCAACTCAAAAGGGATGTGGAAAACTGGAGAGGGACCAGCAGATAGCTACCACGATGGTCAGGGGCCTGGGGCACATCCTAAGAGGAGAGGCTGAGAAAGCCAGGCTGGGTTAACGTGGAGGCTAAGGGGTGATCTGATAGCAACCTGCAACCGTTGGAAAGGAAGTTGCAAAGATGATGGAAGAAAACTCTTCTCAGTAACAGACAATGCTGTGACAAAGGGCAACAGTCACAAACTGCGTGGTGGGAGGGTCAGGATAGACACCAAGAAAAAGCTTTTCCTTAGAAGGGTGGTGCAGCCCTTGGACTGGTACTCAGCTACAGGGGTCTCCACCCTTAGGACTTGGCTAGATAAAGCTACAGCTGACCTCACCTAGAATTAGCGATAACCCCATTTCAAACAGGAGGTTGAATGAGACACCCACAGAGGTTCTTTCCCCAAACATCTCTATGACTCTCATTCAAACTACAAAAATCCTACTGGCATGCGCCAGAGTAATTTTCCTTTACAGGCACCCTCCATGTCATCATAATTCACTAGTGCAAATTCAGTCCAATCCAGATAAACTGCTGCAAGAGCATCCAAATAGGGCCTGCCCTGTTTTTGAAAAGGAAGGAAGCTAGACCAGACCTAAGAACATGGCTGAAATAAATCACATGAATTATTTTCAGGTTGAATCCTTGTTTACTTAGGTGAGAACATGAGGGTGGCTATGAAGCAGTGGACTTTGCACTTTAGCTTAACGTTAATATTAATGCTTGCATTAACGTTAATACTCTTCCTGGTCTTCCCTGCTGCTGCTGGACAACTGAATAGTCCAGAAAGGGGGATATGAACGAAGCAGGCCGACAGAGGCAAGTATGTGGGAGAACCCATTTTGATTGTACTGAAGAGGCCAAGGCAAGGAGCTCCTGTTAGAAACGAAAGACCTAATTTCCCCAAAATGCATGTCTATTCTTGTCCTGGAAGTCCGAAGCCCTCTGACTGGTGGGATGGGGAGGCCTGCTGATGGAAGGCTATCAGTGCTCCAGTAACAAGTCAGGTAGCTCAGCTATACCCTAGGTCTAAGGAAGGTGTGAATGCTGCTCACTGTGATGCTGAGATCATGGCGGGAAAGACAAGGCCAGCCTTGTCCTAAACATACTGCCCATTTTGTGTACAACATCCTGCTAGGGCTGTAAGAGCTTCATCTTTCAAGGAGTGAAAGGAGTTAGATACAGAGATAAAACCAGAAGAGCCATCAGCAGCAGGAGGTGCGCTGCCAACAGCTCCAGAAAATGAGATGAGGAGATTTAAAACCCATGCAATGAAACCCAAATGAGATGAGGAGATTTAGGGTGTGTAGCTACACACACACTGTTGGGCCTGAGCATACTGTGGGGATGCACAAGATAAGGGATGACATCCCTTTTCTGCTTGTGGATTGTAACACTTATGCCTCAGTTGCCTCTGAGCAGGGCAGATCTTAAGAGAAAAGGGAAGTTGAGACAGCCCATTTATTCCAGATAACAAAAATGCAATAGCCCAACTCTTTCAGAAGGAAACTTCCCATGCTAAGCCCAACTTCTCACAGTTTCTCTATAATTTCAGTTGTTTTAAGAAAGCAGAGGAAAAAGTAGCAAAAGGAACTCTCATCTGGAAGAAAGGGGAAGAGTCTGGTTCTTGAGCTCTCCCATCTGGGTCCCTCTCTCCAACATTACTCTGACAATACATAAATCCTCCGTATAGTTATGCTCCTAAAATACAAATCCCATACAGCAGAAGAAGCATTTGTTACTGCACAAGGAGATGGGATGGAAAAAAAGGTTTTTTCCATGCATTTACAAAGGCAGACTATCTCTTCTGGGGGGAGAAGGGCTGGAAGAATACTGAACCACAAGGGCAGTCTAAGAAGGGTCACATTTGATCCAAGCCATCTAGTTCAGTACCACACGTCCAACCACAGCCAGCAGAAGATGATTAGCAAAGAAAGCAAGCATACAGCCCTGCATCCTTTATCCTATACAGCCAGCATCTACCAAAGTGTGACAGAGACTTTCTCAGCTAGCAGTTACACTGAAATCTTTAAGTAGCTTGGTGGCATTTAATTCCATGAACATATATACCTGTATTAAAAAATATTAGATACTTTTGGCCTCAATCATATTCTATGTTGAGTTTATAATCCACTTCAGGAAAAGTATTTCTTTGTCTTTTCAACCTATTTCTTGCTGATTTCATCCAATAACCTCTTGTTCTCGGGTTCAGGCATAGAGAAGAAGCAAGTCCACAGCTTTTGATGTCCTGGTTCTCCTTTGTACCATTGCTGGCTGTGACGCACTCTTTTTAAAAGACTATACAGTTAAGGATGTATATAAATGGTCATATATGTAAATTTTAAGGCATGTGCACAACATGGCTTTATAAGGAGGAAGACACCATTTTCCATTTCATTCTATGCCTTTACCCAACAGTATTTCACATTTTATTCACCTCTGTGGCTGAGTGACTAAACCATGGTTCCTGAGCAGGAGTAGCTAGTTTAGAGCTCATCACCGTCTTCACAGAACTAAGATAAATGTTATGTAACACACTGGTTTATGTCTTATCAAGAATGAATTTCATCTCTGTCTTATCACACAGGCTTTCCTATACATCATTTTGGTTTTAACCAAATACTTTTTCCATCTAGTGAAATCTAGTGTATCTGGTGAACATCTGGTGAAATCTAAACCTAGGCCTATCTACACGTTCAGGGAACCCTCCTGTCTCATCCCTAGGCTGTGAAGCAGAGGGGAAGGCCCTGCACCCTGTCCCCTTAAATCCTCAAGGGAGTAGATTCCTGTTGCAGTTTCCCTTTCAACTTCAGGATTAAGTAGGCAAGTAGCTTGCAAAGCTCCTTCCCCATCCCACTACTACTGAATAGGAGACAAAATCTTGCAAATTGCAGATGAAGGGGAAGGTAACCTCCCTGCCTAAGAACCAAAAGCCTCGAGAACATTCTCTGGATTCTTAGAAAGCAGCAGTGAGATGAGCTGGGCTCAGACCACGGAGTATATTCTGTAGAGACTGGCCAAGGAGAACAAGCTATTTCCACAGAAAACTAAAGCCAAGACCCTAAAGAAAGGTGCTTCTCTAGCTACCTGGTACTTTTTCTCTTCCCCAAAGAAAAAATTACCCCACCAACGTATTTGCTTGTCCTGCATATCAAGGCCAAAGTACTTTAGTCTTCAAAGACCACTGACCCAGAAACAGCTCCATGGAAGGAGGGAGTCCTAGAGATCTGAGGTCTTTTAGCCATTACACTCTCTCTACCTCTTGAAGTTAAACAACGCTTCATTCAATCTATCTCACTGCCTGGGAACACACTGCAGGAGGCAAGCAATAGCACAGCCTGCATCAGTTGCAGGCATCCAGGTTATGCATTTACTTACTTCTACCCGTGTGGGGGGGAACAAGGCGATTCAGAACAGTTGCTTTTACAAAGCCAAAATGCAGGGACCAAAACTATCCTCCCAGGTCTCCCTCAATGAAGCAGAAAAATATCTAGTAAAGGGCTAGGTATTTGCAGTTCCTGAAGACTGCTTAGCACATGGGAAGCATCATGGGATTTGACTGA